CACCAGCCATGTATATAGCATATCCCTTGGGACTTCTGCTCAGGATCCAGCTTATACCTTTTTCCCTATCATCTAGCAGAATAAATTCCTGATCTTAAAAATTGGATACAAAATTAGAATTAGCCATACTCATTCATACGTGTGATAAATATGCTTTTTCTTTTTTCCTAATTATACTGATCTTCTCCATAATTACTAATATATCCATCTCTTTAAAATCAACTTCAAGATCAACTTACTATTGGATGCAGTCTTTTATAGGTAACTGTTCAATCTCTCAGCTTCCTCTTCAAGATGTCTTTTGGGTATATGAGGGAGGGATGGAGACCTGATGAGGTCCTTGGACACTCATATTATCCTCTGGATATTCAGTCTTCCATGGCAATTTCCCTGGTCCATCTTCTTTTTCCTGATTGCCTAGCATTTGAAGCAGCTGATTTTCTCCTGATTTCACTTCAAGATGAAACCTGGTAGGGTTCCCTGGTGGGGTGTCTCTGATGAACCGTAGGTTTGTCTTTCTCCAATCTCTCAGGATCTGAAGGGATGACTTTTGGCTTTTTCTTCCTCTTATATATCCTTTCTAAAGACTAAATCTATAAGGTCGAGGCCTGGCTTTCTGATAGGTAGAAAGAGTCTCTTTTCTGAGTATCAGAGAGGCAATGGTAGCATTGTCTTGATGCTGTCACTAATGTAATAATCTGAGACCACCAGCTTAGTTCTTGATATACAAAGGAATTTGGAAAAAAATTCTCTTTCACCACAAAAGTATGGATTTTTATGTGTACTGATGCAAAATCCTATTTTGAATGTCGTTGTCTTTTATATGAATCCTAATCTCCTTTTCAGTTTGTGTACCATTGCCTCCTAATGTACACGTGCATGTGTACATGGGTGTGCACCCACACGCACATATCAGGCCGAAGAATAAACTGGTAGAAAGACTAAGGAGAAGTGAATGCGTTGTATGGAAAGAAAAAAGATACAAGTACTTTGATTTTTTTCAAATTATAGTAGTTTTTGTTTTAAGAATTTGCTTTGCATTTCTTAACAGCTTTAGCAAGTAATTATCTAGTGTGGTAAGCAGGATTGCTTTCTCCTCCACTACCATTTCTTTCCCCTTTCATGGCCTACTCTAAACAATTTACATTGTTTAAATTATTTTCCATATCCAGAGCCAACTCTGTGCCATGCTCCTAATCTCTCTACCTTCAGCTTTCAAATGCTAGAGCACCTGTCTTACAGTTCTAAGTTCTTCTGGTCTCTACTTCCACCATCATTGTATTGCCATCTTAGCTCCTTAATCCCGTTTACAGATATCCATCTAAATCTAATCCTTCTTGCTATTTTTGCTTCTTTTCCAGCCACTCAGCATCCCATTCCATGCCAAGAACCACCAATAATTGGTGGAGTCAACCATCTCTCTTACCTAGAGTTTTTTTCTACTGTCAGAAAGTCTTGCAGCAGTTAAAAATCAGAGTTTTCATATGAAGGTGACCTCCTTGACACTATCACTAATACAGGGAAAGGTTTTTGGCAATCTCTCATACCAATAGGAAGGACATAGCAGGAGAAGAAATACTTTTTGCCCTTGAGAATAGTAGGAAGTAGATATGGGAGTCTCTTCTAGTGACAGAGATAATAGTCAGGAGACTTCATGAGCCATGCATACTTTTTTTTTTTTTGTTTTTTTTACCACTGGAGCTCTTATTAAACTATAACATGGCAAATGCATGTGGGTAGCTTTTAGTAACTAATTTTGGTAGCTAATGGCCCTGGAACACCACTTTGAACACAATATCTTAGGAAAAAATGTTTATAAATTGACTTATAAACATGTTTTGGGGATATAACTTTGCTATGGAATGAATTGTATCCCCCCCAAATTCATATGTAGAAGCCCTAACCCTTGATGTGATTTAACCTAATAGGGCTTTTAAGAAATAATTACGGCTAAATGAGGTCATACAGATGGGATCCTAATTTAATAGGAATGGTGGCCTTATCAGAAGAAGAAGAGAGAGGGATCTTTCTCTTTGTACTTGCACTCAACTGAGGAAAGACCATGTGAGAATGTAGTGAGAAGGCAGACATCTGCAAGCCAAGGTGCGAACTGAACCAGAATTTCAAGCAGAAACCAAATTGACTGACTCCTTGGACTTCCTAGCCTCCTGAACTGGGAGAAATAAAATCCTGTTGTTTAAGCCACTCAGCATATGGTATTTTGTTTTGGCAGCAGAGCTAAGACAACATCCGTTAATAAATTCAGAATTAATTACAATTTTTGGTTTATGAATAGATCATATACAAAATCTTGACCATTATTGCTATTTAGTTACAAACTATACATAAAACCAGTTGAAGTAGTTAAGTAAATGTTTTTTATGTTTAAATATAAGTAAATAAATTTCATAAATTCCTAAAATAAACTTCATAGATTCCTAAAGAGCACAATGTTTAGGAATAATCCTGACCTTTGGGTGTAGTAAAAATCTCAAATATCCATTCCATTGAGCATCTATGTGCCTAGCATTCTTTCTATCAATAATTATAGCTTTATGATAAAAGTAACTCCCGTATACTAGAACTCTTAGCATCTGTTACATGGTAGGTACCTGATAAATATTGATGAGTTAAAAAAAATAAGTATCTTGATTAGTAGAGGTTTATATACCAAAATTAATGGCATAGACGCAGAGTATTATTTCTGTCAGACTACTTCGAGGAAGATAGAAAAATGTAGATAAGAAGATGAATTTTAAAGTTATTTGTGGCTATCTAATGCCCCTTAGTATTATGGTTAAAGAGACATTGTTCCCAGGTGTTGTAATTTTTTCTAATCAAGTATAGTATTTATAGCTTTTTGGAAGGAAATTTTCTTTCTTTTTTTTTTTTTTTAAGAAAAAACTTAGAGTGTATTCTAAAGTCAAGTAAAAAGGGGTTTGGAATTATATGTGGTTTTGAGTCATCCATTAGGTCTTTGGGATTTATTGATTTGTTTTATATTTGCTTGCATTCCCAATAATTTTAAATCTGGTTAGCGAGGGCTTTCTATGGCACCTATAGCTCTGTAATAGTTGAAAATTGGCTAAAAACTATGCAACACAGTGTAAATGTTGGTTTTCATTTTTCAACTTGAGCAACCATCTTCCTCAAGGTATATCTATATGAAGCTCAAATAAGTGCCTATATTGTTAGGTAAAAATAAAACTTAATTTGGAGGGCAGATGATTAGTTTCCTTTGGCCATTTGATCATACCTTCATTTTTTAGCCGGTGGTGTTGACAAGATGATATTGAGTTTGACAAGGGCTTAATGTTCTTAGAAAGTGAGGGTTATTTCAGGAGAGCCATTTAGAAAGACATGTGATGTCAGAGTCAGGGGTCTGAAGGTCCCTGGGCCAGCTGAGTAGCCTCTCTAAACCACAGTGTGCTCATTTAGTAAACACTTATTAGGCCTCTATTCTGGGCTAGGCATTATAAAATGGGTGTAATAGTAGCCTAAATAGTAATAGCTAATATTTGCATATCACTTATTCATTTAGTCCTCACTAAAATCATATACAGATGGCACTTTAAAACGTTGCTATGTCATAGATAAGGAAACCAAAGCACAGAGACATTTATTAACTAATTGCCCACTGTCATGTAGGTTTTAGCGGTGAAGCTACAATTTCACCCTGACAGTTGATTTAGAAACTTCTCTCTTCACCACTATGCTATTGTTGAAGAGATCTTAATTTTCTATTTATTTATTGTTCTCATTCATTATTTATTTATTCATTGATCTTGACAGAATTTAAGCTGGTGAGGATTTCATGAGAAAAGGCATGTCAAAAGGCTTAGGAAACTGCTTAGTACATTGTGAATATGTGTAATTGTTATTTATTGTATATGTTCCATGTTATTAGGCCTCTTTAATTCTTTAAAAAAAAATCTTTATTTTGTGTGGGATTTCCCTTCTTTTACCCAGTTAAGAAGTCTTACTATTTGCACAATCACAAATTTTGTATTACATTTCCTAGTGCTTCAAGTAATTGATGTATTGTAACTTTAGAGACTTCTACCATTGGATTCTGTTTTTTTATATTATGAAATATTTTATACATAAAAGTATGTAACATGTATGATCATTATAAACCAGTTATTGTACTTCTCTTGTTCTTGCTATGTTATCTTACTGCATGCATGAAAAAGGGTTAATAGACTTTTAGAAAGATAAATGAAAATTTCTGGTTTATGCTTTATTTTCATAAGAATGTTCTCTTATAGAGGCAACCATGTATTTTAATGGCCTATCCAATTCTAATAATACCAATCTACATTAAGAACAGCTGCCAAACTGTAGTAAATGTTAGAAATTTTAAGTTTCTACTTTGAAAATCAAATTGCTCTTTACAGTTGAATTTGATGAATGTTTTAAGTGTGAGGACCACACACTCCTTCCATTTAGTTGGAGAACCTGAACTGTGGTTGCTACTTCCTACTCACTGACTGCTACTGCTACCTGCCTAATAATTGTCTTTGGCTCCCTGTAAACCTGCAGCCAGAATGGTATTTGAATTTTTCCCCTCTAGCACTTGCAAATCCGATTTTTATGTATAGCTAAGTGCTCTTAGCTTTTTTACTCTATCTACTACTGGGGCCTGGTTTCTAGCAGGCCTGTAACTACGCCAGATCCGGCCTATGTAATGCTGTTTGTAATGAGAAATCTAAACAGGGAATGGCAGTGAGGCATGGCAGGAATGTGTTTCCATTGGAGAAGTCAGTATAGAGAAAAAGTATAAGCAAAGCTCTGTCCAGAAGGTCTTTTCAGCTGGCCAGGATGGAAGACTAATGTTATTGTATCTAGGCTGTTACCCTGCCAGCCCTTCCTCACAAATTTGCTTTCTTTCTCTCTTCCCTTCTCCTCTTCTCCCCTCCCCCTCCCTCCTTTTTCATCTATTCGTTTTCCTTCTTGTTTTCCCTCTCTCTTTCTTCGGGCCATGCTGACTGTTTGCTCAGGTGGACAGTGACACCATTTGGAATGAGCTGCACTCGTCCGGTGCTGCACGCATGGCTGTTGGCTGTGTCATCGAGCTGGCTTCCAAAGTGGCCTCAGGAGAGCTGAAGGTGAGGTCTGGGTTGCATTAAGTGTGGGAAATCCAGAGAAGAGGCTAAAACAGTGATGTTGTTGTTTGGGAATTGTGGGAGTGTGGTGTGGTAATAAAAGGAAAGGGGTGGAGGGAAAGGGCAGGAAGATGACCACTAAGGTGTGATAATTAGTCTGTAGGTAGGTAGTCGCTAATTTTGCTCACAAGGCCTTCCTCTCCTTGGGGAAACTGCGGTCAGGGCACTCAGGTGTGTTTTTAAGAGAGCAGAAATGGTGAGGAAAGCCATGGTTCAGATTAAAAATACCCAGTGTATACATGTCTGTCATGTCCTCCTGAGATTCTCTTTCGAAGCAATTTAAAAAATAGATTACTGAATACTATGTATAAGCTCAGAATACCACCCAGAGAGAGGGGAGGGGCGGGAGGGGGAGAAAGGTAAATACCAGACGGGAAGGATTGGGAGGAAGAAGGAAATTGTTGATTAGAAGGGTAATGATCCAGGGTATGTTTTTCCATGAAAGAACTTCAAAAATGATCTATGCTTTATTGTTCTTTTCTTTTTATGGTCTCTTCTTTTCTACATCATATGAAAAGAACAATGTCCAAATCCCAACGTTTCCCAGTCTAAACAATTTATAAAAGCCAGAGACCTGACAGACGTTGACATTTTATTTGGTATTTTAACAGTGTTATTTAAAGGTATGCCATGTGCGTCTTGAATGCAGTTGCCCCTATAAACTTTGTTGGTGCTAACATGACTTTTTAAAGCACTAGTTCACACACTTCATAAGGAAATCTGGGTGGTGTTTGATTTGGTATTTTTAGCAATTGTAGGGATAGGGGAAATATAATGTGAACAACATAGTCACCACAAATTTTGTTAGTCTAAAGTAGAATCTAATTAGGATTATTTTTCTGTTTATCTAGTGAATTTTTATTCAGTTACACCTGACTGTTCCACTTATGGTAAAAAATGCTGGGTAAAAGGGTATATTTTACAATATATTGTCTTCCCAGAAGCCTTTGCTTTAACTCTGTAGGAAGTCAGAACCTATAGAAATATAATTTTTAAAAGAGCTGTATTTAAAATATAGATATGCACACCTTATGTGTAGTTGACTTGATCAGTGTTGGGACATTAATTGCTCATTTCAGGGATTTTATGGGGTCATTAATGTGGTGCATACTACTCAGTCTTTACCTTTGGTAATGGACTATTGGAAAGAGGAAAGGAATCAGCCTTATGGAGAAGTTTTGGCTGTCTCCCAGTAGCATTTTTAGCAATAATTCTTCCTGTTTGAGAATGTCACTTGTAACACTGGAATAGATTGATATCTTAAAAGAATGATCTTTGAAAGTCTTCTTTCAAAAGAATTAAAAAGACATACAACAGCTAAGCCACAGTATTATAATTTTTAAAAAATAATTCTGGCACAGACCCACTTAATGACAATGAAAATGATTATGTTAGCACACATAATTTCTCATTGTTATGATTTTGTGGGAGTTTAATCAATAATTCAGAAACCTTCTCAAGTAGAATGCCCACATGTTACACTCAAAATCATCATTGTTATTAGCCTCACAGAATGCAGAATCGCCAAATGTAAATCTGAAGAGTACTGAACAGAAGTCTAATTCTATTTTTTAGGAGGTAATAATTTAAAATAGCCAATTACAAACAAAGTGTCAACAACATACAGCATGGATATGGTGGCTACCAGCTGTACTAACATTGGCTATTTATGTTAAGAAATTTATGTTAAGAACAAGGATTCATGCAAATCCTTTTCCCCCCATGGTGAAAAACCAGCAGGTATGGCTAAAAACAAAGAGAGAGAGAGAGAAAGAAGAATAGAGAAAAAGAGCCAGCCTAATAATCAAGAAATCTTGGCCCAAGCTCTGCCACTTAAATGCTGTGTCATTGGTGGCAAATCACTTAACTTCTCTGGGCTTTAGTTTCTCGTTCTGTGAAATCACCAGGATGGAATTTATAATGTTGAAGGTTGTACACGGTTCTGATATTCTGAACTATTTACAAATGAAAATTAGATCTGATTGTACAGATGTATATACTGTGTACAAATGTACATACTGTGGCATACCAAATAGTAGATATTTTAAAACTAATTTCAACTTATTTTGGTGAATATTTGAGATATTGCAGCTGGTTTATCTATCTGATTGTTAAACTCAAGGAAAAGTCCAAGATAGTCAGGACCATAACAAAGGCACCAGTGCTGACAGGTCAAGAGACTGAGCCCCTTGATTGCAAAGAGTTTGGGGAGGCCTATGGGAATGTCATATGAGAAAGGTAGCAGTGATAAATGATTTGCAGCCACAGTGAAGAAATGATAGAGGGAACCATGTTTAAGGACCACTAGCTAACCAAAAATGTCACTCAGCATCTACCTGTCACAGACTCCAATATGACAGGGCTGATACAGTTGCTGGCCAGGAGCATTAACACTCATGGCCTTGGAGTCATCACTTCATTCAGATCTATGAACAAAACAGGGAAGCTTATTTGAAGACACTGGTAAGTTAACCTCTGATAAGAGATGTAGAAAGAAAACTTTAGTGTTTCATTTTTGGTTTTCAGCATCTACATTCAGTTCTTACATGCTCTACCCCATTATCCTAGTAAATCAATGTAACTTAATGAAACACCATTGGCATATTATAATGCTGTATTTTGTGAGACTGCACTAATTTTCCCTGGGAAACAGAGAATAATTAAAGCTTTATTTGAAATAGGGTGGGCCTGGATGGAGTGATGAACTGAGAAGTGGGAGACAGCTGAAGGTTAGGTCACTGACCTCATAGAGAATGGGAACCTAGGAGATAAGAAATGTGTATGAGAAAGGAAAATGCCAAGGACAGATTTGATGACCTGGAATTTTTGCTTGATGCTGAACTTGATTGTGACATCCCTAACTGTTGACAGGTTCTGTCCATTATTTACCTGGAGGTATTGATGGACTGAAGGAGTTAGGAGAATGAACCAGGCACAGGAAGTGGGTTTCATGTTGATGCTTAAATAGACCATGTGCAGCAAACTATAGCAATAAATTGGTGTATTTACAAAGAATTGACATGCTCAGTGGAGTTCAGTCAAAATTATGGGGACTTTCAAGTTTTCCAGGTTTTTTTTTTAATTTTTATTTATTTATGATAGTCACAACAGAGAGAGAGAGAGAGGCAGAGACATAGGCAGAGGGAGAAGCAGGCTCCATGCACCGGAAGCCCAACGTGGGATTCGATTCCAGGTCTCCAGGATCACGCCCTGGGCCAAAGGCAGGCGCTAAACCGCTGTGCCACCCAGGGATCCCCAGTTTTCCAGGTTTTTAACAATATGTACATGTATATCTGTATACAATACTCAAACAAGTGAAAATTTCTGGAATCTATAGTTGCTCAAATTGGTCATTTCTTAGATTCTAGTACAAAGGAACACAAATATTCCAAAAATGCAAAAATGTTAGGTTTATTGGAAACTATAATTGAAAGAATATTTATCTCAAACTGGTTTTATTGCTCTATAGAGTATTTAAGAAATTATATCTAGAAATAAATATATCTCCAAAAGAGTATTTTTTTCAAATTATAAGTAGTTCAATACTTGTTTCAAAAAATGGTATAAAATATCATTTTATATACCTTAAGTATATATGAATTTTGTAGTTTGTACCTTAGTAAGGCTGGAAAAAAATGGTTCAGTACTTACCAATCTTTACCATGAGGATTCATTTTGATGCTATTTTAGCAATGCTATATATAATATCATAAAAGTAAAAATTGCTTTAGTTGTTTGTGGAAATATTTGTCAAAAAAAAAACCCACCGGATTATCTGAATGATGGACGGATTTCTTTAATATTTAAATGGATATTGTGATGTCTTGTTGGTAATAAGAACTTCTACTCATTGAGCACCTATTGGAAGATATGCAGTTTATACATAATTTGTGATAATTATCACAAAGGCCTTCGAAGGAAGTACCACCAATAGGATACCAGCTCAGAGACATAAAATAATTTTTTGAGATCCTGTACACTATTTAATAAATGTCAAAGCCTGTAAATCTCATAACCCTCTTTTCTTTTTCAGCTACTCTATAAGGAATTTCCTATGGAAATAGCACAAATATGTAAGGGCAAAAAAAGGTTAAAGTCATCTCTTTCAAATGGTCTAGATCTCTTTTTTATTATTACAAAATATTTAATCCACACAAAAAGAAATAATTACACTAATAACTTAAAAACTATTATGATAAACTATACACCTATGAACCTTTAATCCAACTTAAGAATGCTAATACTATTAAAGTCTCTCAGTACTTCCTCTTTTCTGACTCCAAAATAATTGTTAATCTATTGTATTTTTAAAATTATGACTTTTCCTTTCTTTAATAGTTTTAAACCATATGTTTTAACCTTTATAAAAATGGAATCTTATTATAAAATGTATTGTTCCTCAGATTTCTTTCCCTCCACTTAAAATCATGTTATGAGGATTTATCCATATGAATTTATATAGCTGTGATTCATTAATTTTCATTGTGGAGAAGTATTCCCTTGTACATCATAATTTATTTATTCTTCTGTTGGACATTTCTGGGTTTTTGGTCTTCTGAATAATGCTGCTGTGGATAGTCTTTAACACGCCTGCTATTTCACTATGGCATTACAAAGAGTAAAATGGCAAGCTCCTAAGGATAGAAACATAGTAAATTTCAGTAAGTCATGCAAAGTAGAATTCCAAAGTTATTTGCCACAGTGACATCAGCAAAAAAAAAAAAAAAAAAAAAAAAGGCAGTTTAAACCTCTGAAAATTTTTCATCATAAAATCATTGACAAAACTGGTAGAATTTGTCAGGATACATTTTTTAAGAACTCTGGCAATCAACCAAAAGTGTCCAGCAATTCAGGAAGCATGTGTTCAAAACAAAACCAGCTGAATCTTGGTAAGAACAGTGAGGTTCGTGGTGGTTTAATTCACCCTATTCTCATCTTACCCT